AGTATGGTTCATGGGGTCACGGAGAGTCGGACACGACTTAACGACTAAACAACAACAACCTGTATATATATTTTAGTTATGAAAACTAAGCCTATTTTGGAAACAGTAACCCTTGTAGTTCTTAGCTTCCATTGATTGGAATAGCAGATTTTGTTCTGTATGGAAGCAGATGAGTATTGTTTTGCGTCTTTACCATTTTCTGACCCATGCAGCTATTTATATGCTTAAAGTAAATATACTGTCATCACTATTCATGCTTATCTCTTACTCTTCCTTCTCTCACCAGACTTTTGAAGGTCATGATGCCTCTGTGTTGAAGGTCATCTTTGTGAGCGGAGGAGGACAGGTGCTTAGCAGGTATAACCACCATTGAAAGCAAAATAGCTCAGTGGCAGAACTGCAACATCTCCAAGGAGGGCTAACAAAAGAGGCTTGGAGATCTGGTGCTGGCCAGTGGGCTTAATCTGAGTTGTCAAAGGCATTTTCCTGTGTTCTGATAAGACAAATCAAAAACTGTCATCTGTAGGTGAAAATAAGGAAAACTTTTCTTCATATCTTGGCAAGTAAAAAAGAAAAATAATAAGTTCCTTATTCCACCAGGCACAGGAATGTTATTCCCTGTTTCTGCCCCTATCCAAACATAGCTGTTAAAAAGAAATAGCACTTCTAAACTGTTATTTGCAGAACAAGTCAAATGTTATACAAACAGAGTGGCCCATAGTTGATCTCCTTCCAAAAACATGGTATTTGGGATCAAGGTTTTCCATGCTTTCTCATGTCTCCTGACTGTGCAAGCAGATTGTCACTTCGTGTGTTCATATGAAAAGACTTCCTGAAAACTGCTTTCTAGGAAAGGGCTCCCTGGGAAGAGCAGTGCAGAGATGCAGTTCTGGTCTACATCCCCAAATAAAATAAAGTTGGGTCAGTGACCAGCACAAGGGTTCCTCACCTCTGATGCCCTCCATTCAGACAACCTAGTTAGCCAGCACATTGGAAGGACAACAGGCTGGGTGACTAATCCTGGGGTTTGGGCTCGCCTCTGACTGTTTGTTACATGATGAGGTTTCTCCATGTTTTCTGAGGAAAGGAAATTTACATTTTCTTTCTGCTGACTGCAAGATCTATATGGAATTTTTTTTCCTCTTTGGTTGGTTCTGTTCTAATTCATCTTTACTGTATTGGGTTTGGATTTCCATTTAGAATTTCTCTCTTTCCTTGACATACTTTTTGGGTGAAGTGGAGGGACAGCCTCTCTCCTCCAAAATTAGTATCTGGACGGTGCATTCTGGCCCTGGGGAAGGTGTTCAAATTCCCACACTACCTGCCCTCCTCTCCTCAAGAAGAAAGATCATTATTGGCAAATACAGAATTCCTGTTTTTGCAAGCAGAATTTTAGTTGGGTCCCAAGAGGACATTTTTTTTCTCCTACCCCCTCAGCCATGGAAGTTCCTCAGATTTTGAACTATGCCTGGGCTCCTCATTGTTCTTGTTAGAAGGACTCCATTTCAACATAGATTTGTAGGTAGCTTTTCTTCCATTTGGTTTTTTCTCTTCTGTTCGTGCTGTGTTTTCAATCTTTTTTGTGTGTGTGTCCCTTTTACAAGAGAGTAAGCTATTTTGACATTTCCTTTCCAAAGACAGGTGGTGATGCCAACTTATACATGCCATGAACTTAACCCCAAATCATTCTTAATTCTTGCTTCTTGCTGCTCTTTCCCAAAGTGGTGCCGATGGTCTCCTGAAACTCTGGACAATCAAAAACAATGAGTGTGTGAAGACCTTAGATGCCCATGAGGATAAAGTATGGGGCTTGCATGCTAACAAGAAGGATGATACCGTGGTGACCGGCTCCACTGATTCACGGGTCTTGTTGTGGAAGGTAGACCCTTCAAAGTTGGCTGATTTTAAGTCCGCAATTTTAGCCTGGCTTATGTGCTTCACCTTCTTTTTTTTCTTATTTTTGGTTTTTATCATTCTCCTTATTAAACTTCCCTAGGACTAAGTATCCTTCACAGAAAAGCAAAAGGATCCTGTCACAGTATTGATTCCAATCTGTAATAAAGGGCTGCCATTTCTCAACGACATTGGTCAATGCTACTTGTTCATTTCTTCATGGAGCCAAGCCCATCAGTTTATCAATTTCTGCCATAGATTTAAAATTTGGAAACTGAAGTCATCCAGAAATTCCTTATTTCCCCACAAATGTAGAGCCACAACTGAAAAGATCCTATTGTGGTACCTGTTGACTTGGTTGATGTTCATGGTAGGCCAAAGAAAAAGATATCTGCAATTGATTTTAGGACCTGGGGAGTTTCACGTGGGTATAGGTGGAACCTCAAATAATCTGGTCCTATACAAAATAGAACCAGGATTTTAAACTGAGCTTGGAAACGAATGAGTACCAGGGCAACTGATGCAAACTTGGTGTGACATACTCAGTCTGCTTTCTTTCCAAAAGCATTCTGCACAGCTGAACTTTTGAGAGCATCTTTAAAAGAAATACACAAGAGTTGTTCAGCGTTATAGTGTGAATATAGCCAGACTCAAGCCAACTCTGCCTTTTGCAGATATGGCCACATCTTGCCAACCAGCATACGCTGATAGATGGTGGTGTTGATTACTGAGGTTGCTGTCGCTTTTGTGCATAGCACTGAGGTCTAGAAGTAGCCACAGTTGCTTTCCTGGTTCTTCAGGGGAGGAATCCATCCAGAGACTCCATCCCATCTAAATCAGGAGTAGAGAAGAAAAAGGCACATTTCCTGCAATTTCAGTATCTTAAATTGTTTTTTTCCCCCAACTTTTTATTTTTTTCCAGTTCTTTTGCTTTTCTATAGTTCATTAATATTGGTAAAGGGTAGAATGAAACAAAATTTGGTAAGAGAATATATATGCAGTGCTTTTTTGGTTGAGTCCTCCATTTTAATTCCTCTTAATATTAATCAAAAATCTACTATGATTTAATTTTGCAAGCTGTCAGAAATTTGGTAAGTTTCCCATACTGTACGTATCTAACAGAGTCTTAGATTTGTCCTTCCAATGGTGCTGTGTTCACTTGAAAATAAACTTTGGATAGCTGATTACAAAGGAGCTCCAAAGAAAGTATGGCATCACTCCAGCTTCTACATTTAGTATAAATATGTTTCTTATTAATAAGAACCTTTGCAACTGAAGTAGCAGACAGCGTTTTTATTGTATCTCTTCCGACTGGTAGAAGTCATTCAGTACTTGAGATAGGCTGGTACCATTCAGTGTGATGAATAAACAGGTGGTGGTTGTTTTATAGCAAGGCCATTTAAAAATAAGACGGCCTTCATAATGTAGTCTGCTAAGCCCTTCCTCTTAATGAACTGCTTCATCTAGACTGATAATTTTCCTTTACAAGAGCCATCGGGCTTTTGTAGCATGAATTCACCAGGAAGATTGGTCTGTATTTGTTGATGCATCTCCCGTCTTCTAAAGTACTGTAAGGACTGATCATCTTATTCCAGGATTGATTGATTTGCACTTTTTGTGCAATAGCATATTGAAAGGCTCAGTTTCAGGTAGGTGCCAGAATGAGTCTATAATACCAACTAAAATTCAGCTGCTAATCCTCCAAGTCCATGGAACTCTCCCAGGGAGTAATCCCATCCAAACAAATCCTAAAGCCCAGTGGACTGGTCTGAACTCCCCACTACTTAATCCCCACCATTTCCTCTTGTGTGGCTTTTAGAGATCAAGATTTCTCAACTTTAGAAAGAGTCCAGAGCAACTGAGGGGATTTGATACCATATTTTCTTCTTGAGCAGAGCCCTGTCTCCAACTTCAGAGGGAGGAAATAGAAACAGAACAGCCCCAAGACTTTAGTGTGAATCAGAACATTTAACATTGCAAAAAAAAAAAAAATTGAACTTGGCTTTGCAGATTTATATTATTTTCAAATTTGTCCTCCTATTCTGCTGATAACTTTTACTGATGTTATCCTGTGTGTTTAGATGTACTTCCAGAAGTACAGAAGTTTGGCCCTCCAAATCTATACTCCTAAGCGCAAAATAAGATCTCTTATTGTTTTTAAGATTTATTTGTGATAGGATTTTATGGGAATGCTCATTTAAATTACGTTTATAGCTTGGAGACAACTGTGGGATATCAAGCTGGCAAGGCTGCTTAAAGACCAATCGCTACAGGAAAAATATTAAGAGACATAATTTAAGGTAGCCATCAAACCTGCTACTGGAAGATGATAATCAAAATAATTAATTAGATAAGTATTTAATAGATATACAATGAATTGGATTAGAACCTACCATGAGGTCTCCTGAAAGGTGGGTAGGCTATAATTTTTAAAAAATTAAATAATGAATTCATTAAAATTGAACTTTTTCATGTAAAATATATCCCTGTCATTGAGTATGTTGCAATCAGTCAATATATTGTAGGATTATTTAGTTAATTTTAAAAAGATGGATTTTCATATTTCAGCCTCAAATTTCAAGCAGGCTATTGGAGCTGAATTGGTTGATAGAAGTAGCCACATGGGTTGCTCCAAATTTCATCTACTGAGGGAGCTAAAGAGAAAGTGAGAATTGACAAACATTTTCTCCTACTCTCTTTTTGTGGAAGTAAGCCTGGATCCAATTCCAAATTAGTTTATATGTAAAAGAGCCGATGCATCTTAATTACATCTCAATTAGAGCATTATAGAAATGAATGGATAGGTTCAAGATCAAGCTATCTTCCAAGAAAGGGAGGAAGAACCATTTCAAAAATAGCAAAATGCTTCTACCAAGGAAACAAGTTCAAGAAATTTATTTATAGCCAGATTCTGTTTTCAGTCCTCCCTAATGGGATTCCTTAGGTAATAGCCAAATGAGTCAATCACCATGTTAAATTTTCCAATAAAAATTATACTTGTGTTACTTTCTACAAGTAGCAAGAAGATTATAATGATTAAGGATAGATTTGATCTTTCCAGATTTTATCTGTCTGCAGAGTAGTATCCTGAAGGGGCAAAACCATTTAAGCACCAGCACCAGGTTTCTCTTCCTTACCACTCTGGGGCAGCAAGGAACCCGTGGTGCAGAGTTCCTAGAGGGTGATGCTTACTCTGTGCCATTGCAGTTGATGGAGGGGAAAAGGTGGGGAATGTCAGATGCTCCCCGTCTATTAGAAGCCAATAGTCTACTTTCTATTGGTTTCCTTGCAGAGCTACCCAACTGATTTATAAAATCACCTCCAGTATATTTTGAAATCTAAACAATTCCTAAAATGACACTCTGCACTCAAAATGAACTCATTAGCTTATTGATAAATTAATGTGATTCCACCTTTTTATTGCTATGTGCAGCGCTTGGCCGTTTGAAACAATATTGTGTTCTGTGCATGTCTGTTGCTTTGGTTCCAAAAATCTGGCAGGATCTCATGTGGTTCAAAACTTTTATTATTTTCTGAAGCACCAACCATTTCATTTGGCGATTTTTCTATTTGTGTTTCATGTCTTTGTATGTTAAAAGGATGTCACTCAAGCAGAACTTGAAGAAGAGCAAGCAAAGCAAGAGGAACAGATCCTGAAGTGAGTATCTCTGAGCAGCTTTTACCATATTTTCATTGTGCCAGCAAAACCTGATGCCTTCTGGTTGTTAGGCAACATCATCTCCAGCTAGGTTTTGCTAGAGGTGATGGGAGTATTCAAACATTTCAATATCCCAATTTGAGGGAAGTCTGTGAGAGTTTTCCTCTAATCGAAGAGATTGTGATCAGTCAGCCATAAGCTTTCCTCTGAGTTGATTCCATATAAATTTGCATACAGTTAGCATTCTAAGTGAAGATCCATGCTTTGCTTCTAGGTATTTTGGAAGAGGCATTCCTTCCTGCGTCAGTGTGCATAGGGGGTATCTAGAATTGTTTTGGGAATCTCCCATGTGTTGTGTATACTTATTTTGAATGTGGTTATTTAGATAAAAATCAAGTCTCCAAACTGCTGTCTAATTGGTGGCGTCTATTTCCTTTTTTAATGTATTGATTAATTATCTGTAGTAAATACAGTGTACAAGTTTGCAGGCTTGCAAGTAAGATTGTAAAAAGTATGGA